TGCTTCAAATGCGACGAACACCACTGCGGATCTCGGGATACTCCACCCAGGTCGAGAGCCACAGCTTGAGGCAAAGTTGAGGTAGCCTCACAGCAGGGTCCTGACCCTGCGCCCGCAGATCCAGGAGTGTCGTCAAACATCTCCCACGCTGAGTTGCCCCAGCGGCTGCGCCGACTTGACGGCGCATGTTCCCCAGCCCGGTGACAAAGATGCCGTGCACCTGGTGCGCATAAGCTGCTGAAGCCTGCGGACCAGCCAACTGCACGCGCTCGGTGGCGTAGTCGCACTTCAATACGAAAGCGTGACCACGTAGCCGCACGTGTCGAGCCTTCGCCTTGACCACTCGAGCAACTCGAGTGGCTCGCGCAGCTCGGCGACCACCTCCGAGGTCCATGCCCAGGTAGCCTGCTTGCCGAACCGCTTGAATGTCGATGCCTCGCCTCCGTGGCTGTCTGACCACTGCCTTGGAGTCCTTCATGAACCCGCACAGCGCGACGCTCTTGGGAGCGAGGGTGAGCTCCTGCTGATGAAGCTCGTCCCTGACCAGCGTGACGCCCTCAACCAGGTCGTGGATAATAGCTGCGCTGGAACCTCCCTGGCCAAGATACAGGTCGTCAACCCAAATCCCCTGGCTGGAAGTCACTTTGGCAGTGCGCAGCGAACTCATGACGTAGTGCGTGAGACAGCGACCGAAACGAACCCCGTTCCGCAGGCCTTGCACGATGCTACGTGTGGCCTGAAATGGTTGAGACTAAGCGCCAAACTGCGAAAGAACTCTGGGCCCCGTACACAACTGGAGCTCCAACAGAAGGACCACGCCTGGAAATCCTCGATCCACTGCAGCGCTGGCCAGCCTGGTCCACCGTATGTGGTCATAGAAGGACTTGATGTCAACGAGGGCGCACCCGTGAGCTGCGCCAAGGCGATGGTACAACTCGTGGTCGATGGCCTTCATGCAGGCCTCCTGGAGCGCTGAGTTGCCAGCAAGGGACGCATCCCAGGTCGTGGGATGAGCAGCAGCCCACGACCGCGAGTGCACTTCACGTATCAGCGACCACACTCGGCACACCATAGCCAGGGCGCCGATGATTCTGTCTCCTCCTGATGTCTTGGGGAGGAGCCTCCCCGAGACAACGAGCAACTGTGTTCGCCATGTCCCAACATCCTCGACGGCGTTGGGCAGGTCGGCCAGAGCGGCATGCCCTTCGGGGGGAAGGCGTTGCATGTCCAGCGGCGTGAGCTGGTCTATGCCGAGGCCAGCTCTCGGTTTCATCTTAGATAAAGCTACACGCACATCATCCCCGTCAATCGGCGGTAATGCGCTGACCTCTGCCCAGGACCGAATCCAATGGAAGGCCTGCTTCACCTCCTCGAGATCGAACTTGGGGTCGTGCCAAAGTGCGTGCCATTTCTAACTCTTCTCATCGATGACGTCCCTGGGGTGAAAGACCTGCTGATCTCCTGGCAAGATCTCGTCCTGCGCCTCAGGGTTGTCCTTGATATTCCTGTGTATAATGCCTTGAGCTGGGACTGTGGCGATCCAGTCCTTGAACTCATTCAATGACGCTTGCATGGCTTTCCGAGAGGCCTTCCTGGAAGTCTTCTGGGCGCCCTGCGCGAAATGATCCAGAGGATACCGTGAGTGCTCGAAGTCGCGCCGGAAGAACTGAACCCAGGCGTCCCACTCCAGAGCTTCGGCAGGGGGAATGCAGGTGCGAGCGCCGTCAGGTATGTCTCCTGCAAGGCTCGCGCCCACCTGTCCCAAGAAAGACAATTGCCTGTCGCCTGAACGCCCCCTTGTCTGCGCCTCTGAACACGTACCAGCACTTGCAAAACTCTAGCCCACCAGTTCGAAACCTTGTCCCGCAGCGGCGCATCTCTGAATGTGAGCGCTCGTTGGACAGGCATCGTTTGAAGCTGCGGGTCGGTGGTCTGAGAAGTCGTCGGCAGTGGGAGATCATGATGAGCAGAGATGACATTCCACTCGAGAAACCCACTGAGCGTACATCGCAGACACTTGCTGAATGCATGGACCACCGACATGATACGCGACCGAGTCTTGGATCGGTTTCCAACACATGTACTCTACATTGCTTTGTGAAAATATGAAACTGCAGCAGGTTTGCGCCGAATGCCAGCGGTGAGAGCGGATGCAGAAAGGGGGGGGCGGGGGGACCTCCTTGGGAGAGGCCTCGGTCGCCTGTTCCACAGACTCCAGTGCTGGAAAATCGGGGTCAGTACTGCTGCTGCTGGGGGGCTCTGAAAGGGGCTCGGGGGCATTCGAACCAGGCTCTGGGGAGGCGGGGTGCGACACTACAGAGACTTGAAACCCCTGGGGGGCGTCGGCCTGAGAGTGCCCCTCGGCCCCAGCGCCCCTGGGATGAAAACAAGTGTCGGCGGCCCACGGGCCCTCCTCATCCTCGAAAGGACCGGGCTCGAAAGCAGCCTCTAACATGGGATCGGAAAATTCCCGGAAGCAAAAATCGGTCTCCTGCTCTTCGGCAGCGAGAGGGCTATCAAACAAATCACCGAAAAGCTCATATGTTTCTTCTCTGGCTTTTTCCTTGGCTAAGGCGACACGAGATGCTTGCTTCACACGAGCAGCGCTGGACTTCGATCCGACTGTAGGCAGCGTGCCGGGTCTGACAGACTGGGGGCATCCTAGGGGCAGTGACGAGTGCTCTCGTTTCCAGCTGCTTACAAGAATGCCTGAGACGAACACGGAGCGCACAGTGCGGTGACCATGGCACGTCGTGATCTGCTGAGACATCTATCAGAAAGCTGCTACTGCCAGGGCCTGCTATGACATAATCAATCAGACTTTGTCCATTACTCGTGCTGCAAGTGTAATCATCGGGCGCATGGTGTACTTGACCGCGCACACGCTTCAAACATTGAGAAGAACGCAACTTTTCAGGAGTGATGTTGAAAATCACCGACGCAGAGCCAGGGCAGTCGGAGCGAACGCAGGAAGGCGCCGAACCTGGTCAGACGAGCAGCGTTGCATCCTTGAGCTCCGACTGACGGGTGAAGGTAGCAGAGGACGAGCACGATGGAGAAACCTTGAAGATGTACTGTAACTGGGAAGAAGCCGTCGTAGCTGCCATGTCCGTCAGCGCATAGATCTGCGACGTGTTCTGAATCGACGGGAAACTTGTGAACTTGAAGATGATGCTTGGCCAGGAGCAGCTCACCCCCCTCGTTGGCTCTGCTGCGACTGGCCTCGCTGCTGCCGCGACCAGTGTCACGCGCGAGGTTGAGGTAGGCCTTCAACTTCTGAGCTTTCAACTTGCCACTCCACTTCTGCTTGAGCGACTCCCCAATACGAGTCTCAACAAATCCCATGAAGTCGTACGAGTGGCGAGCCTGCTGAGCGAGGATATGCGACCACGCCTTCTTGCCCAGCGTCGTGACGTTGGCGAAGTAGAGCGTGCTGCAACCCTCACTCCCCCAAGCCGAAGATGAAGGTGAGGAGGGAGAACTGGACGTCGTAGGAGTCGCTGGACTCAGAATGACGCCCTTGGAGGTGAGGAAGGGAGCGGTGTATGTCCCCATGCTTGTGTCGATGACGGCGGAGCCTGGGACCACGAAGCCCGCCGTCTGTGAAGCCTGTCACGCTTCGCTGCCGCCGCCGACGTCGGCGGCGCTCTTGGCGACCTGCTCAGCTGCCTTCTTGGCCTCCTCGGCCTCGAAGCGCGCCTTGCTCAGCGCGGCCGCCTTCTCCTGCACTTCGTTGATTGAAGGACCAGCTGAAGATGCCGATCCACTCCCACTATCTTTGGCGCCTGCGGTAGCCGTAGGAGACGGAGTTGCTGCTGCGCCCGTCTGCTCGGCTGCCTGCTCGACCGTCTTCCTCTTCTTGGACGTCCGCTCCACAACCTCCTTCTGCATGGCCTTCATGCGCTCCAACCATGCCTGCGCCTGCTCGGAGCGTTCCGAGATCTTGGCCTTCGCCTGCTTGAGCTGCTCCTCGAGTTCCTTGAGCTCGCGCCTCTCACTCTCCTCGATCTCCATGGTGTCTAGCGACTCGAAGAACGAGGTGTCCCATTTGATCTCGAACATGTCCTGCTTGCACTCCTGGGAGCCGTCGATGCTGAGCCCTGATGCCTGGGCCAGCGCCTTCACCGCGATCTGCCTCGCGATGGAAGCCTGGGCGAGAGTCTCCGCGGTCTCCCGCTCCTTGGCCTCCGCTCTGGCGAGGTTCTCGCGGCACTTGATCACGTGCTGCACCGCCTGCGCATGCTTGGCGTCAGCATCGCGCCAGGCTCCCTCAGCCTTCCGAGCGGCCTCGGACGGCGGCACGGGAGCGGGCGCGGCGGCCGCTGCGGTCTGAGCCGCCAGCAGCGCGCGCTGAAACTGCAGCACCTGATTGATGGATGGGTCGGTCGTGGCGGCGATCGTCTTGTCGAGCAACTCAGCAGCCTCTGAACCAGCTGCTGCTTTGTTGCCACTGCCGCCACTCCTGCCGCTCTTGCTTCCTGGCACGTGCAGCGTGTCGTCCTTGGCCGACTGAGACTGGTCCCTGGACGGCTTCGGCTTGAAGAGGGCCGCGGGGCGGCTGCAACGGCGACACTTGCCATTCTCCTTCAGCAAAACGTCGCTCCACTGATGGGTGTTGCAGCTCTTGCATGTGGACCACAGCCGCGGGCCGAGACCAGACATTCTCCTGACTGAACTGCCTCGCTTTCGTCAGCACGAACGCCTGCGCACTGGGCGCGGGAGGCGTGGTGCTGTCCCCCAAGCACCTCGTGACGGCGCGAGGCCTGGCAGAGTGGGCGATGCACAAAATGTGACAAGGAAGGAAAAGGAGGCCCTCCCCTCGCCTGCTCGTGCCAGAATGCTTGAGGGGAGAGGGAGAAGGAGGAGGACGAGGAGGAGGGAAAGAGGAGGAGGAGGAGGAGGAGGATGGAAAGAGGAGGAGGAGGAGGAGAATGAGAAGGAGGAAGAGGAGGAGGAGGAGGACGACGACGACGCGGAGGGAGGGGAGGCCCGCGCCAGGCCTGCTCCTCTGTGCGGCCTTGGCGTCCTCGGCGCCGCCCGGTGCCCCTGCGGGGGCCGCGCTGGCGGCCACCTTCGCCATGCGAGGCCTCGAGCGCCCGGTCGGGCGAGGACTCCGGGCCCAAGGACTAAGACGACGCGAAGATCGGGACAAAATCGGATCGAGATAGCTCGAGATCTCTGAGAATCGGCGGGTTTGGAGGATGTATTGGGCGCCGCGGCCGCTCCAGAGCGTTCTGGAACGCTCTGAGAGCGCTCCGGAACGCTCTGGAGCGATTTATCCCGATCCTAGCCCTGTTTGAAGGACCCAGACATGATCGCGTCGTAATGAAATCTGGACGGGAAGTTTTGGGTGCTTTCGGCCCCGGGGGGGCCCTCGCTGGGCCCTCGCTGGGCCCGAGGACCCAGACATGATCGCGTCATAATCAAATCCAGCCGTGAGGGTTTGGGTGCTTTCGGCCCCGGGGGGCCCTCTGCCGGGCCCTCGGGACCGCCAACAAAACGACTCGGGACAAGAGACCGGTCCCGGGGAAAGGGTCGGGACTTCCAGGGACGTCGTCCTGAAAAATCAAGACGTCGCATGTCTGGGGAGGGGACGGGGGGGGGGGGGGGGTCGCGGCGTGCCGGGGCGAGCGGGAGGGGGGGGGAAGCTCAGAGCCGCCGCGGCAGCAGGTGGCGTTTCCATCCATGGAGCTCTGGCCACAGCGTTAGGCTCCTGTGAGTGTGCCAGTCGACACATACGAGAAGGAGAAGACGATGCGCCTGTGGGTGCAATTCGCTCTGGGTTCTTCCCTGGTTTCGTGACGCAGGGCGGGGGGACGGACGAGGGGGGAGGGGGAGGAGGGAAAGGGGGAGCGGCAAGCTAGGCGCGCTCGCGCCACATCCGACATCCTACCCGTCCCTCCCATCCCTTCCCGTTCCGCCGATGTTTACTCTATATCCGCGGCATCGTGTCATAGCCATCCGGGAACGCCAACACGAAAACCTCATCGTGCTATGCGCCATCGAAAAGGGGGAGGTGAGAAGACAGGAGGAGGTGGCGGATGAGCAGGAGGAAAAGCAGCATGTGGAAGGAGGACGACGAACACGAACAGCAGCAGGAAATGGAGCTGAAGGAGCGGAAGATGCAGGAGGACCAGGGGAAGGCGAAGGCGAGGAGTTGGAAGGCGAAGGAGGGGAAAAAGGACTCCGGTCCAGAAAAGTGGCCCACGCTGCGGCGAGAACGCCAGTCTGGACGATGGGAGCAAAGCGCCGATCCGAAAATGAGGCCCGTGCTGCAGGGGAGCACCGTTTCCAGATACCGAAAACAATCGGGCAGTCCAAAAACATCCGAAAATCGCGTTTTGCAATCCTGTGCAAAGATGACTACGCGGAGAGAACTGGCTGTCTCCCGGACGGAGCCAGGGGAGAGAGGAGAGTAGCATTCATGAGCTGTAAATTGCGGAGGGGGGAGGGAGAGCAGGAGGGGCGAGGGGGGGCCGAGGAGTAGTAAGATAAGGAGGAGGGAAAGGCGGAGGGGGAAGGCGGAGAGGGAGAACCAGAGCAAACCCAGGATGCGTCAACGGCGCTAAAATGCACCCTCCCGCCCCCGAGCCCCAAGCCCGAGCCCCCTCTCCACGAGGCCCTACAAGCAAGCCTTCCTTCGCTCTACAAGAGGCGCCCCCTGGAACGGCCAGCCCCCAGAGGGCACGACATCCAGTGGAGAGACCCGTGCTGAAGAAGAACTGCGCTGCACACATCGAACGGACAAAATCCGGAAAACGCCAAGAAAATGATTCCTCAGCCCGGCGAGGTGTCGAGCGAGATCCCCGTGCCGAGAAAGGGCCGCCCCCGTCTGCGCAACCGCCGCACACAAAAATGACACCTCTGGCCCCTGCTTGTCCCAGGAAGTCTCTGAAGCGAGCGCCCAGTGCTGAAGAGGAACCGCCCTCCATTCGTGCAGCTGCGACGCATCTTCGAGCCTCTGGTCTGCAGATGTATACAAAAGGAGGCCCCAAGTGAGAACTGCATGCTGACGAGGCACTTGTTTCGACCCTCAACGTGCATATACACACGTGATAGAAAAATTAGCCGGAAGAAGGACCCAACCATATGCAGGTGTGAGTACCGCAATTGTGATTCCCTTGTTCGGTGGTGATCCCAATGAAGCAACGAACCGTGCTAGGGGTGTGCCGAAATGAGTGGCGTGGTACACAACGCGAACGAAAACGATTGATCTGAGTACGTAGGGAGACTGAGCGCGGGCGAATCTGAGCGCGAGTGCGTCTGACTGTGAATGAATCTGCGTGCGAGCGTCTACGCGCACGAATGCGAGTATGACAAAGCTTGGTGCACTTGTATATGAATGTCAATAGTTTGAGAATGACTGCCTCTGAGTACTCGTGACGCTGGGCGTGGCCGCCGCAAGGAGTTTCCCCGGGACTCCCCGACAGCATCGCCCTCGCGCCGCGACGCCACCGCGAGGATCGCGCCCGCTTCCTCCCCTTCTTTTACTCCCTCTTTGCCCGCGCACTCAAAAGTCCAAGGCTGCGGGCGCAGAGCAGCGCGGAGTCCCAGCGACGCGCGCAGGTCACCCCGGAGGGGTCCCAGCGACGCGCGCGGGTCGTCCGCTGCGCGCAGCAAAGAGAGCTAGCTGGCTGGCTGATAGCGGGCAAGGCTCTTGCCGCTGGGCAGAGCGACGACGGGCGAGCGAGGCGCGGAACTCCGACGGCCTCCGGCGGAGGTGTACTGGGTGGGGGAGACGCATGCGGACTGCGCCAGGGGGACCTTCGGTGGAGCTCCCTATGGGGCCACGAAATGCGTGAAGGGTGTGCCGAAATAGGTGCGCGGGACGAATGCGGGCACGCCCACTCGGACCTTCGGTGATGGGGCCACGAAACGTGTGAGGGGTGTGCCGAAATGGGTGTGCGGGACGCAAGCGGGCACACCCACCCGGACCTTCCGTGGAGCTCCGTATGGGGCCACGAAACGTGTGAGGGGTGTGCCGAAATGGGTGTGCGGGACGCATGCGGGTACACCCACTGGGACCTTCGGTGGAGCTCCATATGGGGCCACGAAGCGTGTGAAGGGTGTGCCGAAATGGGTGTGCGGGACGCACGCGTGCACACCCACTGGGACCTTCGGTGGAGCCCCCTTGTATGATGCCACGAAACGTGTGAGGGGTGTGCCGAAATGGGTGTGCGGGACGAATGCGGGCACGCCCACTGGGACCTTCGGTGGAGCTCCCTATGGGGCCACGAAACGTGTGAGGGGTGTGCCGAAATGGGTGTGCGGGACGAATGCGGGCACGCCCACTGGGACCTTCGGTGGAGCTCCCTATGGGGCCACGAAACGTGTGAGTGGTGTGCCGAAATGGGCGTGCGGGACGCATGCGGGGACACCCACTGGGACCTTCGGTGGAGCATCGTATGGGGCCACGAAACGTGTGAGGGGTGTGCCGAAATGGGTGTGCGGGACGCATGCGGGCACACCCACTGGGACCTTCGGTGGGGCTCCCTGTGGGGCCACGAAACGTGTGAGGGGTGTGCCGAAATTGGTGTGCGGGACGCATGCGGGCACACCCACTGGGACCTTCGGCGGAGCTCCCTATGGGGCCACGAAACGTGTGAGGGGTGTGCCGAAATGGAGGAGGGAGGGAGGAGGAGGAGGAGGAGGCAGCGGGAGGAAGGATGAAGGAGGAGGGGACGCGGGGCGCTGTCTCTTCAAAACGAGGACCCAACACCACAAGATGGTTGGAAGAAAGGAACGGAAAGCCGAGTGCGCGCGGCGCTAAGGCGCGTGCTCCATTTTGAATCAAAAAAACTACCCCCCTCCCGCCCACCCCCCATCCTTGTAAGTGTCGACGGTGCGCGGCGCTGGACCGAAAGGTCCATTTTGCAAACGCCCCCCTCCCCCCGCGCCACTGTACCCGCTGCATGATTGTCAGAATGTGTGCGGCGCTCAGACGAGATCTCGATTTTAGAAGCCACTCACCTCCACCAGCGCTACTGCGAGAGCTCAATGTTTCAACTTAGCCCCATCCACCATTGTAACTGCTGCAAGCTCTTCAATCGAATGTGCGCGGTAATACGGCGAACGCT